GAAGAACATGGGAAAAGGTGTTGTTAAATGAACGGATTTATTTATGCATATTACCACTCTGTATCTTTTTTCAAAACGTGTAATTTACGCAACGAAAGGTCTTATTTCACCAAGGAATTCTCTACTGCAGCAGATGAGCAAGTACGGTCACGTTTTAGGTGATGCCCATCCTTTAATGATAGTCACAATGAATCAGTGCTTGATGCTTAGACAGTGTTTGGATTTTAGGCTATCAAACTGCTTTATATGCTCTTAATGTTTATAGAGAATTTTCTACTGCCACACTACTTACTCTGTGAATACCTGATCCTATCTGATATTGTAAGATAAGCAGGGCCATCCTGGTTAGTATTTGGAGGGGATAGGAGTGATTCTCAAACTGTGGGCCATGACCATTGGAAAACATGTATTTTTTTGATGGCCTTAGGAATGGAGATACTGCTCAGTAGCAAAATTAAAGTTATAAAATAGTAATAAAAATGAATTACGGTTGGGCATTCCTAAGACCATTGAAATTATGTGTTTTCTGATGGTCACAACCCACAGACTGAGAACCTTTGTTTTATAATATTATTTAGATTATATTCTTGGTATTTAAGACAAATTTGTATTGACAGATTTTCCATTTTGAAATTATTGCTGTTTATTTAGTACCAATTTCAAGAATGCAATCATTTAAAAAATCATGGCACATCTAAAACTTCTTTCATGCAATGTTTGGAACTATCCAGAACACTTTTGAACAATGAGCAGCTAGTAGTTTATTTTCTGTTTTTCTATTGTTTACAAGTGTTTTATTTGGGGGTAACTTTGAAATTGATAGATTTTGAAAGAGTAGTTTTAGATTCAAAGAAGAACTCAGTGGAATGTACAGAAAATATCTACATCCCTACCCCCACTCCTGCCTCTGCACATGCAAGCCTTCTCAGTTATCCGCAGTCCCCACTAAAATGCTGCATTTATATAGATCATGAATGTATACATTTGGCTCCTTAGAGTTCACCCTTATGTTGTGTATTCTGTGGGTTAAAACAAATGTAAGACAGCAATATCCAGGATTACAACATCATATAGAGTCATTGTGTTGCCCTAAAGTCATCTTTACTTTGTGTATTCATCTTTCCCTTCCCTCTAACCCCTAGTGTTTCCTCTAGCCACATCTTTGCTTTTCCCACCATGCCACATGGCAGCAATAAGTGTGCAGCTTTTTCAGTTTTGTTTTTAAATTTAGTTATGTACTTTTAATTTTCCTTCATGTCTTTTAATGGCTCAATAGCCCCCTCTGTCTCTTTCTTTAACTTAACATTTCCAAATGTGGTCAAGGGTGCTCTTGAACTTCTAGTTATCCACCCTCTAATTTTGAATTGCTAGAATAACAGGAGCATATTATGTCCAATTCCACGCAGGGCTGGGGATTGAACTCAGGGCTTAGTGTATGCTAAGCAAGTCTCTACCCACTGGGTCATGTTCTCAACTCTGATAATTTTATTCAAGCACCGAGTGATATTGTCATTTCCAAATGTGACATAATAAATTTGCCTATTTGTTTATAAAGAATTTTTTTTACTTTTCAAATTTTGGGAATTATGATGGAAGCTAATATACATTCTCAGTAGCAATGTATAAGGGCTCCCTTTCTCTGTATCCTTATCTGCATGTGTGTGGTTGTTTTTCTTTTCTTTATTGTTAAAAATAAAATTTCTATTTTTATTTATTTAAAGTATTATTGCATTATTTTCCTCATCCACTCCTGCCTCTCATCTGTAATTATTTTCTCAGATTATCTTTCTGATTGTTGTGAGATTTAATCTCAATGTTTTCAATTTGTGTTTCTCTGATGAATAGTAACAGTGAACATTTTTCATATGTTTTTATTCATTTGTACTCCTTTTTTGGAGAATTGTCTATTCATTTAATTAACTCATTTGCTGATTGGGTCATTTAATTTTTTTTATATTCTGTGAGTTAACCCTCCATGAGATACATAGTTAGCATTGATGTCTCTCCAATTCTGTAGGCAGTATTTTCACTCAATTATTTTCTTTGCTGTACAGAAACTTCCTAATTTAATAAAATCTCTGTTGTCAATTGCTGGTCTTGTTTCCTGAGTCTTGTCTATTGATGTATTGTCAACATGTCATAGGGTTTTTATTGCTATAAGGGATGATGTGACCATGGCAACTCTTAATAAGGAAAGCATTTAATTGGGGCTGGCTTACAGGTTCAGAGGTTTAGTCCATTATCCTCACGGTGTGAAGCATGGTGGTGTGCAGACAGACATGGTGCTGAAGATGGAGCCCAAAGTTTTAGATCTGGATCAGCAGGCAGCAGGAAGAGAGAATGACATTCGGACCAGATTGAGCGTTTGAAACCTCAAAGCCCACCCCAGTGACAGACTTCTTCCAATAAGGCCACACCTCCTAATAATACCACTCCTTATGAGACTATAGGGGCCATTTTCATTCAAACATCCACACAGAGGCAGAGTTTCAAGGCTACAGTCAATGTCTTTGATCCATCTGAAGTTGATTCCTCCATGAGGTGAGAGAGAGGAGTCTGCTTTCATCTGTCTACCTATGGATATCCAGGTTTCACAGCACTATTTGTTGACAAAATCATCTTTACCCAATATACATTTTTGACATATTTGTTAAAAATAAGGTGACTGTATTGTCAAGCCTGTCAATTCATCTCCACAAATTAATGATATGGCTCTATTGCTGAAGACAACATCTATGTAGCTTATTGAACATGGAGAAACTGAGCTGGTGTCTACCTGGAACCATCAGCCCTATTGACTAGTGTTCATGGTACTGGAAGGTACTCTGCGTGCTACCACAGGAAAAAGTAACAGTCCTAAAACAGGATGTCTCCTTCAAACCCCTCCTTCAGGGCTCAGGGATCTCTGTTGAAGAGGAGACCAAAAGATTTCAAGAGCCGGTGAGGAGGGAAGATACCAAGGAAACAAGGCCTTCTAGACACAGAAGGACTGACACATGTGAACACACAGAGACCATGATAGGTCTAAGCCAGATGGGGTTCTGGTGCTGAGAAAGGAAGTGGACAGAGGCCCATCCCTGACCCAGAAGCTACTTCCAACTGATAACTGCACACAGAGGAAAATTATTTTTCTTCAACAGAGTCTCACTGGGTATATAAACTACACTTAAGAGTGTGTCTCATGCCCAACAGTAGATGGTCAACACAAAATTAACTCATTGGTATTTTAGAAGTATTTTTGGTGTCATAATGCTTTGTATGGTCATTTTTCCCCTACAGATCTTTTATATTATAGTTTCTGGTTTTGTGTTTCTATAAGATTTCTGTGTTTGCAAACATGTATTTCTCTGTGTCTGTTTGTGCTTCTTGTGTTTTCTCTTTGCTCTTTTTTGTTTGTTTTGTTTTATTCTGGTTTGTTTGTCTTATTTTATATGACTTTATTACTACTATTAATTTTTAGATGTTTGCTGTTTTCTAATGAGAGAGAACAAGAAAAAGTGTGGATTTGGGTGGGTGGGGAGGTTCTGAGAGGAGCTGTGTGTGGGGAAATCATAATTAGAATCTATTTCATGAAAAAAAATTGACTTTCAATTACAAAATCAGGTGGCTGTAGCTTTGTGGTTTATCCCTACGTCCTCTATTCAGAAGAAAGTAAAGAAAGAAGAAATTTCTTCTCCCATCTTTTTTTTTTATTTATTAAAGATTTCTGTCTCTTCCCCACCCTTCCCCTTTCCCGTCACCCTTTCCTTTCCAGTCCCCTGTAACCCTACTTCTATTTTCAGGTCTTTGGGTTTTATTCTGCTTTCACATGCAAGAACATATCTCACTTACCTTGCTGTTGTACCTGGCTTATTCTGATTAATAGCATGTCTTCTAGTTCCATTCATTTTCCAACAAATGACAGATTTTTTAATTTATTTTTTTGTATCCATGAGAGTTCTCAATAGAAGTTTGCCTGCAGTTTTGTTGTCTCTTCTGCTATATAGCAAGGCATTCATTTGCTTTTGGTTGAGACGTTTCCAAAGAATAGTAGAATTAGTTCAATTCTCCGATTAAAAAGCACACTAGAACTTCATAGTAGTGTAAGTACCTTAGGACAACAAAAATAAATCTATTCTTTCCTCCCCAGATCTTTAATTGTTACATGGAAACATGAAATATTGCAGATAAATATTTAAGAAACCAATTTTGAAGATGATCAAGACTATTTTTTGTTTATTTTTATAAAGCAGTGTATCACTGTGGAGTTCAGGCCGACCTCAAATTCAGTTTGTGGCTCTAACATTCACAATTCTCTTGCCCTCTGCTCTGTTCAGGAAGGCCTGGCTTGGGACTACTATAACTGTGATAAATTTTACAGAATTCAAGGAAGGAATGGAAATAGGTTCCAGGAACTATACAACAAGAAAGTAGGCAGAGAAAAAGGCACATATTCCATTCCTACACCCGTTCTGTTTCACTTCCACTGTTCATTCGCAAGGTAGAAAGTAGGAAGAAAGAAAGAACACAAACTCTTTGTGATTCTGTTTCTACAGTTTTTGAGGATGGCTCTGTCTCCTCATCTATGTGAAGTGTTCATTATTGGACCAAATGGCTTTATTTAAGGGATGACATCTGGAGAAAGGAGTTTAACTAAGTTATCTTATGCGGTATGTCGACACTGAACCTGGCAAAGAGCTGGAAGAAGGAAAGCAGGGTTACTCTACAAACTATTTGACAAAAATATGGTCATTAATCAATGGGAAATAATGGATTAGTATCTTAAAAATGAGTTCAAGGGCAGCCTTATCTACAAGACCTAGTGCCAGGACAGGATCCAAAGCTACACAGAGAAACCCTGTCTCAAAAAAACAAAAAACAACAACAACAACAACAAAAACCAAAACAAAAAACAAAAAATGTAATTTCTAAGGCATTCATGTATCAGTGATGATTAAACTTCTGATTATTGCCTTACAATGACTTAAATATTTAAACATTCGTATTTAAATATTTTCTAGAGTCAAGTTGTATGAATGGGAATCAAACATCACTGAACGGTTCATTACCAGAGTCAGAAGGTACTGTTCTTCTCTATCTTGTGGCCAGCACTGAGGGAATAGAGAGTTCACCTTGCTTAGAAACAGTGACTAATGCTTTTGCTTCTGGAAAGACTTAGGAGGAGTGGAAGGATCTGGTGATGAGGAGGGACCCTGAACAATGGCCTCTGCACATTTGCTGTCTTAGAGTAAGAAAGGCTATGGGATTAGCACCCTCCCAAGTCTGTGTTAAAGGATCCTTCATCATCTAATTATATAACCTTTATTTGATGTGACTTATGAGGACCTGAGGACACAAAGAGGCAAGTGTCACTGAAATGGTATAGTTGAGATGGTTAATACAATGTTTATCAGAGTCAAGGCTTAATATTCACAGTGACTTCTGCTCCTGTTAAAGTGGTGGCATCACTGACTCTTTTGTCACAGTGACTATAACAGATAATTTTGTTCAGTAATCACCACTCAGCAAATTTGTATCCATCATGGATTCTAAGTCAGTATATAGGGAGTGGGAGGTTTTACGGTAAGAGATGCATATAGGCCACAGGCCTTGAATTTTTACTTTAGAAAGTGAATAATATATTTAATTCTAATAGACTGAACATATAGAAACAAGAAATGTAAGAAAAATCTAGTATTCCTGAAATACACTCATTAGTCAGACAATACTCTGGTGTAACTTCATATACACTGCTGTGGACAGACTTAACACAGGTTTCCTTTCCGTGTTCTTTTTGTGTCTGTGTCCAGTTAACACTACACTGTTTGTACAGATGGGTGCAAAGGCTCTGCTGTGCTGCCCTGCTCCTCCAATGACGAAAGCATTATTAATAACGTGGGTAATAATCCTGAAAGGCCAGCCTCCCTGCAGAATAATCTACAAAGCAGAAACAAAGGAGACCAGTGAAACCAACTGTACAGACAGGAGAATCACCTGGGCATCCACACCTGACCAGAGTCCTGACCTTCTGATCAATGCAGTGGCCCTCGATCATGACAGGCTTTATTCATGTGAAATAGCAACACCTCAGGGGAATTTCCTAAGGAGACATAACCTCCAAGTGCTAGGTAAGTGACATATCGTGCTATTTCAGGTCACCAGATTTTAGATAGAAACAGATGCCTTTGTAATTTGGGACCAGACTGAATCATTTTCCCCTTCCATCTCCACAGTGCCTCCAGCAGTAACCCTGCTTCCAGGGGAAAACAGAACTGCAGTTTGTGAGGCAATTGCAGGCAAGCCGGCTGCGCAGATCTTTTGGAATCCAGATGGGGATCACGGCACTAAGCAGGAATCACACAGCAATGGCACCACGACTGTCAGGAGCACATACTACTGGGAACAGAACAATGTGTCTTCTGTGTTCTGCTTTGTCTCCCATCCAACTGGCAACCAGACTCTGCCCATAGAACTGAACGGAAGTGGTGAGTACCTCTTTACTTTTTATACCTTTGTTTGTTTGTTTATTATGTTTGTGTATTTGCCATATTAAGTATGTAGAGGCCAGAGGACAACATGTCCTTCTACCATCTGGCCCTCAGACTTGACAGCAAATGCTTTTACCAGCTGATCTATCCACAGGTCTATCCACCTCTTTTTCTCTACTTTATTTTCTTCCTTCCTTCCTTCCTTCCTTCCTTCCTTCCTTCCTTCCTTCCTTCCTCCCTCCCTCCCTTCCTCCCTTTATCTCCCTCCCTCCCTCCCTCCCTTCCTCCCTCCCTCTTTCCTTCCTTTCTTCTTTTTCTTTTTTTAAAACTTGTTATCATGGTCTTCTACTGAGATAAGGTCTATCTTTGTAGCCAAGACTGGCCTTACATTCATGATCTGTCTTGGTCTGCTCCCTGAGTGCTGGGATTATAAAGGAGCTGTTTCTTCCTTGAAAGGGAACTGGTATTTAACTTATTCTTAAGTAGTAAATAATGAATAACCCAACACAGGGAAGACAAATTGAGCTTCTCACTTGGACATTGTTATATAGCTAAACAATGCACTGTTGTGCTGGAGAAATATTTTCCAACTCCTTATCAAGTGGGAAGAATTGGCTGTACTAAATACTTCTTATCTGTACTTCTGTAAGTGCCTTTTACTAAGTCCACCATAAAAGTACATTTGTATTTCTGGGATGTGTAGACTTTAATGCTCAGGTTACTGATATCATCAATATTTTCACATGTTTTATGCTTATCGAGTAAACAACTTAATGGTGTTTCTTCTCTTCCTGACTTCCCTGTTTCTTGAAGTTGTTCAAAGTGAGATCCCGGTTTTCCTGCTCATTCTGGCTTGTCTTCTAAATCCAATATTTATTAGAAATTATGTATCCATTTGAAGATCATGATACAATAATAAAAATGAGAACATCCCCAGCTTTTTATTGAGTTGTGGAATACAATATGACAGTCAGGAGCAAATTATTTGTATGCTATAGCTTCTCATTCACAGCTGTGTAAGTATGAATATTATTCAAAATATTCTGACTTGCTGGGTAATCTGATAGTCCCTTCATTTTTCTTTCTGAGGAAGTCGAATAGTTTAGCATATCACAAAGACATCAAGTAACAGAAAATTTCTACATCATTTTTTTCTTAAAGGCATCTTTTATTTCTTTACGTTTTTTTTTTTGCAATAGGAAAATCATTTATTAAACACCAAGGTCTCATACAAGCATTACACACCAAGCACAAGCAGAAGCTTATAGCCTGGGTTGTCTTGTGGATCCTGAGTAGCCCTGAGAAGCCCTGCTGGAGCTGTGGCGAAAGCTGCTGGGTTCCAAACTGCTGAAGGTCTCAGAAACCAGTGGTAGCAGCCAGGAGTGAACACACAGAGAGCCCTGAGGTTCTAAAGCTAAAGCCCAGGAGTCAAGTGGTACCCATGGTGGGAACATTTAACCAAATGAGAAAGTGGAGTCTGACGGGACCTGAACTGGATGCAGTGTGATCCCTGCCAATCATCACTTCAAAGCTTTGGGCAGTACTCAAATCTGCAGATGCTCAAATCCCTTAAGGACAGAGTATTTGCATAAAGCCTACACACCTCCACGAGCGGCCACTCCAGCTCTAGCTTACCTAGCGCCTGACATGCCGTTAATGATAAGCAGTTCTTGTGCTGTATCATTTAGAAAGCGGGAAGGAACATGGACGTGCCCACTATAGGTCAAGCTTTTTCAAATATTTTCCAGCCATAATTGGTCAGCTAACTAGAAATATATGGTCTTTCGGAAAATGTCTCTTTAAAAAGATAAAACTGGGAACTTCATACAGTTAACTCTGTTGGAATTTCCCCAGAATTCCCATGCTAGCTTTTGTCTTCAGAGCCTAATCTCCAACCACCACGTTCTCAAATAGAGGAGCCTACCGGCATCACTTTCTCTCTTGCCCTGAGAAGGTTAAAGGAAAGGGAGGACGATGCTGTCCGATTACTTTATTGTGGGAGGGGAGTTGGCACTAGGTGGACGGAGACTCAGAGCAGCAGTAGAGGAAACTGTTTGGCAGGCACAGCCCATGGACTTTTGCTTTTTGGCTTTTGCTCAACAAGTACTAAGAATCCATATTCTCATGTTTCTCCATGGGTCAGTTCTTCATGGGTCACCTTTCATTCAAAGGGCCATAGAGACCAAAAGAAGGGATTTATTTTCCCCAGCTCCCAGCCACGTTCAGGTCTCGCAGTCAAGGCATCCAGCGAACCTATTTTCCAGCTTCCTCTGAAGGGCTGAAAAGCCTTGCTCGCATGGCAGCACCATGCTCCCGGCTCCTGGTCCTCTTCTCTGAATACTCATTTTTCAAGCACTTTCTCATTTCCCGATCAAGATCGTTGCAATGACCAAAAAATTTCAGAATGTTGTGATTTTTGTGACATTCCTTAAGCAAGTTAATCAAGATGTTGCATTCCTCGGTGTGCAAATGTGGCGATAAGTCAGGATGCATCTTCAGGAGGACGAATAAATGCAGGGCGACCGCCGTTTGGCCCCCTCGGGAAACACTGAGAGAAAAGTCACGGACTCAGAGCACGCAGCTCCGCCGAGTGGATCTCTTTACGTTTTTTGAATCAACAAAGGGATTGACTTTTATTTAGTCTCCGAAATTTATGAAGCACAAGTTTTTCTTCTAAAAATTTATTATTTTGCAATATATATGCATGTATATATGTATATGCATTACTTTGATAATGTTCCTCCCATTACCCCCTCTTGTCTCCTTCCATTGAAGCTCTTTTCCCCAGCATGCTCCTTTCTAATTCTTTCTTTCTTTCTTTCTTTCTTTCTTTCTTTCTTTCTTTCTTTCTTTCCTTCCTTCCTTCCTTCCTTCCTTCCTTCCTTCCTTCCTTCTTTCTTTCCTTCCTTCCTTCTTTCTTTCTTTCTTTCTTTCTTTCTTTCTTTCCTTTTTCCTGTGTGTGGCACATTGTATTTGTTTTAGGTTGCTTACGTGATCCATGGATGGGGAAATTATGTAACTGAACAACTTATGATCCCTTCCCCCATCAGTGGTGGAATGTTGAAGAGTTCAGTCTTGTACATCTTGTACATGTAGCCACTGCTGTTGTCAGTTCAACACCCATTTTATACCCAGAGGAGAATGTTTTGCAGCACTCCTTCCCATCCTCTGCCTCTTACATTCTTTCTGCCCCGCTTTCTTCCTGTTCCCAGAACCTAGGATGGGGTGATAAGGATACCATGTTTAGGACTGAACATTGCATTTAACAATGGTTTATTCTCAGAAAATTGAGCAGTTACGGGATCCTCCATTAACCATTGCAAACAGAAATTTCTCTGACCAAGATTGAAAGCATCATTAATCTATGAAAATAAAATAATTTAAATAAAATAATAGAAGACAGGGTGACACCATGTCCAATTAGCAAAGCAACACTAGTAGGCTCCCCTACCCCCAGGACTTATAATCTTTCTGACTGCTTGCTTTTGAGCATGTTTCAGTACTAGACATGAATTCTTTCTTCATTATATCAATGAAAAACTCCTGTTATCTGGATTTATCTTCTTTCAACCATAAATTTTCTGTCTGTCATTACAGGTGGCAAATCGTTAGGATCATATACTCTATACATCATCTCATCTCCTATTATTCTTTTGATCATCATAGGATTCATTTGGCTTTTGAAAATCATTGGCTTCAGGTATTAACTGATGAATGTTTTTTCAATCTTACTGGATTAGAAAAGGCTGGAGAATATGGTGCTGGCTTACTGGTTCATTGGGGAGTAATGGCAATGCTTTCATAAGTGAAAGGGACACATGAAGTGTTAGACTGGGACAACTTTGCATGGTGACAGTGTTCGTTTTGTGAGTTGCTCAAGTGTGCAAGCACTGTGAATTAAGCCAGTAAGGACAAAGAATCTGGGCATGGTATTTTATTTTAATTAGAGAAAATAACTACAATAATTCTTTTCATTTAACAATATATTCACATATATTTTAATGCATCAAGCTCCTATCCCAAGATTTTGGGTTTTTACCTAATTCCAAGATCCAGAATTTTTTTATTTCTTTATATGATAACTGGAAATCAGTATATTCCATTCATTTCTGGCAGTTCACTGTTGATTTACCGAGACTTACATAACAGTTGTCAGAACATTTCGATATTATAACTGTTTATTCTAATGCTCCCTGCATTCACTCAAGATTATTTTATTTCATTTTTTTTTTTTAGAAAATGTAGATGGACAAGACCAGAAGCTTCTCCAGCTGTTGAGGAGGTAAGATGTATTAAAGGATATTTGTAAACTTTAAAGCCACATGATCATAATCTAGCAACATCATCTGTAATTTGCATTAATATTCATTCTTTAGTTGAACAAAATATTTCTGAGTTTACAGTTAGCAGTCAGACATACTTATTTTGTTAATTGCCTATCAAATACTATATATAGATGCTATCCAATACATTTTCTCATCTGATAAATTGCAACGGTGTCACTTTTGCCCCGTTTGGACTGTCATCTCTGGAGAAATTAAGAGATGTTTCCTTCTCCAGGAACTTGTGTCTTATTCCTGACTTCCCATTTTCAAGACCACCACCATTTTTCTCTTATCCTGGTTTAAAACAGCCTGCCCCTTAGTCTCCTGTAACTAACTTCTTATTGTCTTTGATTCATCCCTTTGAAATACTCCTCATGTCTCCGCATTCCTCTGCATTTCTACTTTTACCCAACAGCCATCTCACCCAAAATATAAATAATCAACAAATGTTTTTGATAAACTATTTGAACAAAATCCTGTTCTTCTGTTCATGTAAGTCAGAGATATACATATAAGCATTACTAGTAGATGCTAACATGGTAGAATAAATGGGTAGTTTGGGTAATGATTTCTAGTTCTTTGAATGGGATTTTGACTTTGAACTTTGTCCTAGGATGAAATGCAGCCTTATGCTAGCTACACAGAGAAGAGTAATCCACTCTATGACACTGTGACCAAGGTGGAGGTGTGTCCAGCATCACAAGGTGAAGTCAATGGCACAGATGGGCTTGCTTTATCAGCCACTGGAATCTAGAACCAAGAAAAATGAATCCAGGGACACCATCGTTACTCTTTTGCTTTCCTTAAAATTCTACAATGGAAAGATGACTTGGAAATTAGCTCTTCAAAAGTTCTTAGAAACACAAATGTTCTTACGGTTTTGCATTGTAATCTTCATGGTTGGAAGTTTGGAATCTTTGCTGCTACCAGTTAATCTTTGAAGAACTGATGAAATTATTACAAAGAAAGCACAAGGTTATGATACAATCAAATTGTGCAATACAGGATGATGAAAACTGAGTTCCCTCAAGATGTAATTGCAGAAGGAACAATCATTACTAAAGAGCTTCTCATGAATTCTTCCAAAAGCATTTCTCTTTATATGTGCTTATAGTGTATGTGTGCATTTGTATGTGCTTATTTACATATATGTATACATGCACAAATCACATTGTCAAGACAGCTTCTTGTCAAAACAGACTGGAATGCTGGACTTAAAAAGTTAATACTGTGAGTCTTGAAAAATCTTTTTATATCAGTATAAGCAAAACTACCTCATTCTTTTTAATGGCTATGTAAAATTCCGCTGTATAATTACATTGTAATTTAATTAATCATGGCCCTTGGATGGGCATTTAGATTTTGTTTTCTGTGTGGTATTAAACAGTACCAAGTAGAATGTTTCCTGTGGATAATCTCTGCATTATTTGATCACATTGAGAGATTTTTTTTTAATGTAATAGTCCTGGCAGACGGAATGTACCTTTATTATCAATAGAGCAGTCAAATTGTGTCTACTTACATTCCCTCTGATTGTGTTTGAATGTGCCTTTCTCTATATTCTTATTCTTGTGTCTTTCCCATTCTTATTGCCACAGTTTCTCCTTTCTATTTTTAATTAACCAGTTGGGTGGTATGTTATGATATTAACTCTATTATTTAATGAAACTGGATTCTCGTCCTTGTTTTGTCTGAAGAGAGAGACAGCATTTGTAATGAGTGTTCTCAACTGCTCATGTTGCTACAGAAGTGCTGACATCTCATGCCTAACAGTTTTACAGATGTTGTGAGTTGTCCATTTTTAACATTCTAGTCTTATGTATTTATCAAATAGCAAGTGTCTTTGGACTGTATTTGTAGGTGGGGCAACATGGGGGTATTTATATGCTGAAAGGATGGCAATGGGATGATATGATTTCCTCTCCATTTTTGTTTAGAGGGAGATATGAGGAGTATATACATTGATAATTTTTGACATATTTTTTAATTGTTAAGAATAATCCTGTCCCCCTTTACAAATCAGGACAAATATTTAAGATGAATTTCTTTTTGTCTTATTTTGTTTGCTTTTTTTTGAAACAAGACCTTGTTGATTTTTAAGTTAGTTCCTCAACTCACCATACAACCCAGGCTGGCCCCCCAAGGGCTGTGATGACAGCTGTGTGGTGATTTACATGCACAATTCTTTCTCATTACAATAAAATGATAGAAATTAAACAAGACTCACTCTTAATGTTTCCCAATTGAGAAGACATTTAAGGAAATTCTTTTGTATACTAAAAATTTTTTCTTTTCTTTCTGGAAAATTCTCTTTTTCTTCTTCCTATTTCTTCCCACACTCACTCCATTCTTTGGAAGTTATGCATTATAACATATATGTATTAGTGCCTATGTTTTATTTACAAATATCTAAAAATACTGTTATTGAGGTATAATTGAAATTTAAAGTTTATTCTTTTTAAAAATATTTTTATTAAAGCTCTTCATTTATTTTACATACCAACCACAATTTCCCTTCCCTCCTCTTCTTCAATTCCTTCCCCCACCTCCCATTATCCCTTCCCCATTCATTCCTTCTCCATTCAGAAAGGGGTAGGTCTCCCATTGGATTCAACAAAACATGCCATATCAGGTTGAGGCAAGACCAAGCTCATCCCCCTTCATCAAGGCTGGCAGAGGCATCCTAGCATGGGGAATAGGTCCCCAAAAGCCAGCTCATGTGCCAGGGACAGGTCCTGATTCCACTGATAAGAATCCCACAAACAGACCAAGCCACCCAACTGTCACCCCACATGCAAAGGGCTTAGGATGGTCCCGTGCAGGCTCCTTAGGCTTTATCTTTGTATTAGTCAGGCTTTTTCAGTGGAACAGAACCACTAGAGGAAATCCCATATATATATATATGGTTTATTAGATGGCTATTCTCACATAGGAGAAGTGGAGACTCTAAAAAGTGTTCATGAGCCTGGCTGTCTCGGCGGTCACAAGCTGCTGCCGAAGGCCTGGAGTATTCCTGGAGAGCCATGGGTCTTCAGTTCACATGGAACAACCAAAGCAGCTGAGTTCTGATGTTGGTGAAGCAGACAGCAGAGGCAGCTGCTGCACAGACAACTATGGAAGCATTTACCTGTGTTACATCATTTAGACATTCTTAGGCCATTTTGACCTTGGATCAAGCATGTTCCACGACTGAATGATCTGGCAGCAGACCTGGGTGCTATGCGGACTACAGAATTCAAGTGTGGTGGCTGCTGCTACTCGGAAGTAAAGAAGAGCTTGAGAGGCATCAGCTTCATTAAGAACATTGGCTTCTAGCGAAGTACTTAGGTCCTCAACTCTTATATTTATTTTTTTGATTAGGAGTAATTGTTTCAGTGATTTAATCTTATTACTAGTTGTGTTTGTCCAAACCTTTTATTTACTCATAATGCTTTGTTGTGGATAGTATGCTTCTGAGATCCCTACTTCTTTTTGGCTATCTGGTTGGTGGTTTTTCATGGTAGTCTCTAATGATATTTAATTTTCAATTTATTATTATTATTATTACTATTATATCAATAGCTGTATAGTACTCTAGAGACAGGGATATTACTATGTCCCCCTCTCAGCCCTCTTGCCTTCACGTTCCAAGTGCTAGGATCTCAGATGTGAACCACTGTTCCTGGCTTTCTTACGATATTTTTGTTTCTGTGATAGCAGTTGTAATATTTTCTCTTCCATTTTGGCATTATCTGTCTGTATCGCCTCTCTCCTTTTCCTTGATAAATCTACAGGTATCACTTTTGATTATATATCATTTTTAAAAATTCAAATTTTAGTTTTATTAATTTTTCTATTAGTTTTTGTTCTCCATTTCCTTCTTTCTGATCCTCCCTCCCTCCCTTTCTCCCTCCCTCCCTCCCTTCCTCCCTCCCTTTCTCCCTTCCTCCCTCCTTTCTTCCCTCCCTTCTTCCTCTTCTCTCTTGCTCTCTCATTCCCTTCCTTCCTTCCTTTTTTCTTTTTTTTCTTTCATACTAGGAATTGAGCCAGGGCCTTATCCATGCTAAGCAAGCACTGTGCCATTAATCTACACCTCCAGCCTTCTCATCTAATCTTTATTGTTTCATTCCTTATGCAAATGTTTGGTTTAGTGTAATTTCTTTTTCCAGGTCTTTGAAATATAGTTACAATTTTCATTTGATACTATTAAAAATGTAGGTATTTGTCATTGTAAACTTTAAACTTAAAATGCTGTTTCTTTAAGTTTTATTCTTAATTTGCTCTTTAATCCTACAAGTTGTTAAAAAATATGTAAATATCCACACACGTGTGAAATTTTTTTATCAACACAGAAAAATTAGTTGTACATTCATATCCTGATAACAATCTATTTGGAAAGGAAATTAAAAAGCAAATTTTATGTGCAGTAATATCAAAGAATAAAGTCCTTAGAGTTTAATTAAGGAAGTAAAAAAGTGCTAAAATTATAAAAACTGATGGAAAAATTAAGATTTAAACAAATGAAGACATTTTATTTATTCATAGATGAAAACCTACAATTTTAGGCCAAAACATCTGCAAGTTTAATAAATCACTATAAAATTATAATGACATATTTTTATAGAAATAGAAAACTTTCTGAAATCCATATGGATGTATAAAATTTCTAGATAGCCCAAACAATTATAAATAAAAGAACAAACCTGGGGACATCACACCTTCTTATTTCAAAATACATTATAAAGCCACAATAACTTAAACTGCATACCATTGCTATAAAGACATATGTATATAAACTCATATAATACAATAAAGGTAGCAGAAGCAAATCCATAAATAAATCAAAAAATAAAGGCTTATTTTTACTTATGTGTAAGAGTGTGTGTTGGAATGTGGGTATGTGCCCTTGGAAGCCAGAGGCATCAGATCCCCTGGAGATGAAATTATAGAAAGTTGTGAGTTGCCTGACTTGGGTGCTGGGAACTGACCTGGGGTCTCCTGTATTACAATTTAGTTTAATGAGAACATTTTCTTTGACTGCATTTTGTAATCGCCTGTAAGAGCAGCAAGTCTTTCCAACCCCAACCCACACACGTTCATATTAACTGACCTCTAACAAGGGTCTAAAAATACACAATGGAGAAAGGATAGTCTCCCCAACAAACAGTATTGGAGAAGCTGTATATCCCTATGCTGCACACAAGTCAAATCTGACCTCTGTGTTATCGAGTATGCAAAAGTCAGTTCAAATCTCAGGGCTGATGAGGAAAATAAGGCACACAGGCATTGTCCTTTCACCAAACAGTGCTACTTTGACCACTGGAGTACCAAAGCAGTGGTCTATCTCTTGGCCAAATTAAGTCTTTGGTGATAATCTATAGTATGGAGAATTAAATCTTGATATCATATTGACTTTTTCATAATAAGATAATATCAATTGCTCCTTTTGGCTAACCAAAGTGGAATCACTGTGGTGTGGGAAGTCCTTCTGTATATGTGCTGCTTTTATTGGTTAATGAATAAAGAATCTGGCTTGGCCAATGGCTAAGCAACATAGAGGTAGGTGGGGGAAAACTAAACTGAATGCTGGGAGAAAGAAGGTGTAGAAGGGAGACATTATAGAGCTGTCAGAGAGAAAGACATAAGCTGCCAGCTGGAACCTTGCCAGTAGGCCACAAGCCTCATGGTAAAATATAAAATAATAGAAATGGGTTAATTTAAGAGAAACGAATGGGAAAGGGGAGGCGGCGGTGGGGAAGAGACAGACATCTTTAATAAATAAATAAATTAATTAATTAATTAAAAAAAATAAAAATATGCATAAGCTAATAGGCCAAGCAGTGTTGTAATTAGTACAGTTTCTGTGTGATTATTTTGGTTCTGGGCATCCAGGAACTAACAAGCAGCCTCCTACAACAGATTGTTGCACCAACGTGGGTAACTACATTCACATAAAAACCCGAGGGAGCTTGAAAAGGAATTCTAGACACACACACACACACACACACACACACACACACACAAACAGAGTTTAACACAGCTTCTTGCTCTGGTTGCTAGAAGCAAGCAGAGGTATGATTCCTTTAATAGAGGACTTCTTGATTCAATGGTAGCCAAAAAAAAAAAAAAAAAANATGTATTAGTCCAATATAGGCTACCAGGTATACTCTGCTCCTCACAATCATACAGTGACCCGGGATTCTTCTGCCTAAACTCTACTAGATCCCTAGTAGCCTCTTTCACTGTATACTCTACAATAGTCCATTCCTCAAGGAAGGAGAAATAAAGGAAGGAAGGAATCATATATATTTATATATTTTATATATATATATACATTTATATATTAGAGACTATAGGTGGACTAGGCCTAGAGATGCTACACATACATTCTCCACCCAACTATAAAGAATTCTGGGAAAAGAAAAAAAAGAAGAAAAAAAAAAGAATTCTGGGAAATGTAATTAAACTGTTGTGACCTGAGAAGTAAAGAAAATGGTTCAATCATAAGTCAGATTCTACCACAAACTTTCCCTTACGTACCCTTACTATATCCAAATTTAAGGTCATTCTCTTGTTAAACAATATTTTTTTTGAAAAATTACAGGAATGGCAGCTTCTTATGCCATGCTGCCGGCATGAACTCTGACTCTTTCACGAGACCAAGCAATTTAATGGGGTTTGTGGGCAGTGTGCTGCAAGTTTCTTGGTGGCAGCATGGACCAACTGGTTACCAGAGTTGAGGGGGTAAGCATGGCTCCCACCCAGCAGTCTCAGAGGCAATGAACAGACCTCTACCCCACCATGTTGAACTGGGCAGAGCCAAAAGGCAAAGCAGCCTTAGTCTTAGTAATGACACTTAGCCGCTTAATATTTTAAGAGGCGCTCCTGAACAAAAAAAGATTTCAGATACACAATAGGACAGATTCAGACATAAGAGACATCTAAACAAGACACAGTATGTTTAAAAAATGTGCACAGGCTTGGAAGAGAAAAGAAAAAGAGTAAAGAGACAGTAAATGTAATATAAAAGAGTATAGACAGTCATAGATTAAAGATAATCAAATAAATATTAAACTTGTAGAAAAAGTAGTAGAGTAAGAAAAATGAGCCATGTAAAGCTGGAATATACATAAAGAGTCTGGATTATGTATATTATTGCATTTTCTTTGAAATTTTTTGACAGTTTCTGTGTGATTATTTTGGTTCTGGGCAGTTAGGAATAAACAAGCAACCTCCTGCAACACTAATGTTAAACATGGGGTTTCAGAGGATGCTACAGGATAAACCCAAAGGACTGGGTCATTTCCTGTTTAGGAGGCTGAAAGAATGTGTGAGCAGAAAGTTCAGCCTGTGCGTAAGTGTCCTCAGTCTTCATTTTCACATTTCATATAAAAACCTGTTTGAGGAGGAGACAGCATATCCTAAATTTCTATAGCCGGAAACACATCCAATCAAGGAAAAAGGTGAAATAGAAAGAATAAAGATGCTAATACTGACATTTGGGTAGAGAATTAGTTCTAATGCAGACTTCCGATAGGTCATCTCATCCCAGCTTGTTAATCCTAAACACATGTGCATACAGGCAACACTAAATGGACTCAATAGGTAAGGGTGTGTTTATGTTTGTGTGTTTGTGTCTCTCTCTCTGTGTGGCATGTAACAAGTATAATTAAAGAAGAAGTCATGAAATTCAGAGGGAGTGGGAAAGCATGAGAGGAGCAGGCAGGAAGGGAGAAAGGGAAAGAATGATGTAAATGATGTAAATTACTCATATATGTAATCTCAAAAAATAACTTTTTAATAGTTTACAAAACAATAGACTTTCATATAGGATTTTCATGGTTATTTCACTTTATTTGATTCTCTGCCACCCCTTTTCCTGCTGTACCTTTTGTCCCCAGTGTTCTCCTCCTTTCAGATGGAGCTGTTCAATGACATTGACCCCGTGTCAGCACAGAATGTCTGCTGTCAGCTGTTTGATCTGGAGATGTCCTTGTATCTCTCACTCCCTTAACAGCTTCTGTCCTAACTGATCACCCCCGCTTTTTTTTTTGTTTTTTTGTTTTTTTTTTTTTGGATAGTAGCTAGAGACTTTAAACCCATATCCTTACATCTAGTCTCTTTTTGAAAGCCATCCTTCAGAATGCAACCATATATCCTTATACATTATCCCGTCAACACCCATGTTTCCGAAACTTCCCAACAGCCAGCTTCTCATTTATTCTGTGTGTTGAATGATGTGTGTATTTCTTATCCCCGCCCCCACTCTCCTGTTACTGCATGTGCTCTTCTCATGCAGTCCCATGGAATTCCTCTCCTAGACTTCGTTCATGCAGGGTTTCTGTGTGAGCTCGTGTCAAACAGGTCCTCAGTCATCTCAAAAGACTGCAACCAATCTGAGATAATAAAAACTGGGCCATTTTTGTTCTGTCTATATGGGTTGGTAGTGCTGTCTCTTAGGACAGAATGACATACAAAATAAACAATGTTTATTAGAACAGAGATCTATGACTTAGTTGACTGTTTTACTTATATGGATGTTCACAATTAAAGTAAAAAAAATTTGCATCGGGTAGATCAATGAAAAATATTGTTTTGTATTTATGAATTTCTGTATTTTTATGTGTATGTATGTATTCATGTGTTTGTGTATGTGTTCATGTGTGGGTTCACATACACTTGTAAGTACATGCAGATAGAAGCTAAAGGCTAACATCAGGCATCTTCTTCAATTGCTTCTCCACCATATTTTTGGAATAAGGTCTCTTACAAACCTTGGCACTTACTTTAGGCTAGACAGGCTGGCCACAAAGTCCCAGATCCTGCTCTCTCTACTTCTCCTGTACTGGGAATGCAAAAAGCAGAAAACTGCATCTTTTTTTTTTTTTCATGGTTGCTGGGATTGA